TTTAATCTATTATAATAAAAAAAAAGCTATGATAGGAATGGAAAAGGAAACTATAAAAGGAGAATAAATGAACAATCAATAAATGAAATATTATTTTGTTAGAAAAACAGAAACATTATAGTATGAAATGAATGTATGGAAACAAACTTTCCTCTCAAATTTAGGAATTCAATTGAATGTTCACCAAAATATATCTATGCTACATTCTATTATGTTTTGATAACAATTGTGGTCAAAAAAAAAATGAAAGAAAGAAAAAGAGAAAAATGTTGAAAACGTTCCTGAAATACCATAAGAAAACATATATTTGTTACAGATAAATAAATGGTCCTTTCTTGGTTTTTTTTTTTTTTTCAATTTTTCTTCTTTTTTTCATTAAAATAATTTGTTGAAGAAGAATAAAAAATGAATTTTCGTTCCTTTTCATTCAACTCTATCCAATCAGTAAGTGACCAACTCTATTTAATCAATAAATGAACAAATCTATCTAATCAGTAAATAACTAAATCTATCTAATCAATAAATGATATCAATTATTATTGTTATTAGACTGCTTCAATCATTATTCCGTGACTTTTTTTTTTTCACGGATTCGTTTATAAAAATTATAATTATTTGTAAAAAATTTTTAGATACTTTTTTTGTTTTTAATTATCCAATATAAATCATAAAATTCCAATTTTTGATCATATTAATTAGCAAGAATTCACTCACTACTCAATTCATATCTTATTCGTCATGATTACCTTCAGCATTATATAATTACCTTTTCATTCTTTCTCTTTTATTCCTCCTCTCTTTCCTCTCTCTCTCTCCCTCTCCCTCTCTCTTCTCTCTGTCATTTTATCATTTTATTTTACTTCAAAAAGTATCTACTTTATGAAAACAATTTATACAGAAGTGTCGTTAATAAGTTAAATTAAATAGGACGAAAAATAAATTTTGAAAATGAAAATTGAAATGAAACAATTTAATTTGTTGAAGGAATGATGAGATTTGAAACTAAACAAATGAAATTGGTTGTAGTAATGAAATGAGACAAGTAGATATGTAGATTGAGTAATATATTTACATAAGCGATCACAACATTATGGAATTGCAGTCAGCAATGCAGAAATATCGACAAATACACAAACGTCAACGAAATTTTATTTAAGCATTATTACAGGTAACATCATCATTTTCTTTTATATCGTTTGACAAAATTTTTGTTAACTAATTTTTTTCCATTAAATTTAAAATTTTCGAGAAAATTAGTTGAAATTTAAATGAGTAAAAAAAGAAAAGGAAGAGAGAAAAAAAAAGGAAATATGGAAATTGTTTAAAAAATATGTCTAATTCATTCATTATATGATTAATAATTAAATGATAGATACAATGAGAAATGATAGAATAGCACAGTGTTAGAAAAATAATTAATTTTTTAATTGAAATTCAAAGTTTCGATATAAATTTTTAAGACTTTTTGTTAATTCAAAACTGTTCTGGAGGAAAAAAAAACCGAAAAATTGGGGGAAAAATATTTTTAAAATATAGATACTAAGATTGTTATTACAATCCAACAAATTTCTTTCACAAATTATTAATTCTTAATCATTTATCTCAGGTAATTACTGTAATTTTTTCATTTGAATAACCTTATTTTTATCTTCTTAAATATTCAACAATATTCATTTATTAACCATAAATAACACAATTAGCTTTTCATTTTATTAATTATTTATACAAATTTATAAGCTACTAGGTTAAATTTGTCAGTAATAAAAAGCAAACAGCACATAACATGCCATCTATAAATACATTATCACTCTTTATTTTTATAATTATTTCTTCAAATTTAAATTTAAAAAAGAAAGAAATTCATTGTAAAAAGAAGAAATTAAAAGAAAAAGCGAAGAAATTCGTTACTATAAAAATTAAAATTAATTTACGTATACATGTATAATTGATTTCAATTTTTATAATATGTATATTTTTAATAAAATTAAAAGTAATTAATCAATAATGCAAATGATTAAAGTATAATGAATCTGATGATGATTTTGGTTAAACTAACTGCACACTTCCTTCTCTATTGCTTTGACAATTATTTGTTGAAGGAACTAAAGTGGTTTATATGTCTGTGACTATTTGTATATGTCCACCCTGCTCTTTCGGTGGATTACAGGATGCACACCCAACACACAAACACACACACACACACATATATATATATATATATATATACATACTTTATAAATGAACCGATGATAAGTTATCATTCTTCAAGTTGACCCGAAATTTAATGCTCATTCAAGCACAATTAAGTTAATAATTCGATTTTAACCTTAAATAGAATGTTATAATTTTACATTTTTTTACATTAATAAATAAACAAATAGAAGGATAAACAAAAAGACAAATATAAATGTATGACTTATATAAGGGATATAGGAATTCTAATTATGAAATTTTGTAATTAAATATTTACAATAATACGTGCTAATTTGAAGGGATAAAGTGAATTTTGTTATTGTATTAGCTTGGAAATAATTAATTTAACAGTAACCATTGAATAATTATTCCTATGAAATCATATTAATCTATATTGTTTACTAAAGTTATCAAATGAAAAGTGGTTAATAAGTGAGTATTGTTCAATATTTAAGAAATCAAAAATAAACTTATCCAAATGAAAAGATTAAAATAATTAATTGAATTAAATGGTTAAGAATTAGTAATTTGACAAAATTAAAAAAAAAGAAAGGAATGTTATCGTTATAATATAAAATACGAGAGATATGTTGATCGATCTAATTTAATTATATTAAATGTATTTATTAACTGCTTTAATCAATTAATGAGCTACCTTAAAGGAAGAAAGTGTTGATAAGGAGGAACAACAAAAAATGCGTTAATTAAAATAAAATTAAAAAGAAGAGAAAGCTGTCGTCTTTTTTTGAGAAAAAATATTGTTAAATCGAAGAAATTCTTTGTTTTTCGATATTACAATCAATCAATTACTTAATTTTAAATTAAATTATAAGAGAAAAAATAATATTCTTTCTTTCGCTTCTTTTTTTCTGGTATTGTTGGATAAATTAATTCAGTGATTATGAAAGTGAAAAAAAGAAAAAGGATTTGAAGTGTTGAAATTTGAAGATAATGGAAAGAACTGTCTTAAAATGAGATAAGACTATTGGATTGGTATTTATTGATGTCTATACGAAGCATAATGATTCATCAGTGGAAATATAAATAACTTCGTCATTTTTATGATAAAGAACATGCTAAAGTTATCATTTGTCCCCACCCACAACTAAATTTTGCTAATTTTTTTTTTGCCAAAAAGAAAAATTTGCAAAATTTGGTCGAAAATTTCTTCCTTCCGATCAATTTCCAGTAATAAATCTGTTTTGGAATTGATTCGGTTTGTTGATTCGATTTGTTTGGAATTTTTTCCATATAATAATTTAGAAAAGTTAAAAGTAAGTTAAAAAAATTATTGAAATATCAAAAAATGAAACAAAAAAAAGACACAAATGAATTTTGTTCAGAAAAAAAGTTATGTTCCTACTATTTTGGTTGAATTTTATGATTGAATAAATCATTAATAAATATATTTGTAAACAGGAAATATTAATTCCATCGTTTTCAAGATTTTTTATTTCAATACAAAAGTAGTGAAACAACTAAGTGAATAACAAGCTAATTAGCCAGATTTTAGAAATTCTTATTATTAATTATTATCAGCAGCATGTCTTATCAGCTGCTAAGATTTCGCCTATACTTGAATAACTATAAAATCTTAGGTAAAATAATATACGTTATCGAAAAGTCGATATAATTTATTGTAATATCTGCAAATATTTGCGATCTTTACATTTAACAAACAATTAATAATCAACCTTTAAATTAAGTAAAAACGAATTTATTTTGTTATTGGAAATTATTTTAGAAAATGTTGAAAATAATTAATATTCTGTAAATGACATTAATTAATAAATTTAATGGATGAAATCATTTGACTTTTCTTCATACGATAGAGATTTACTTTACTAGAAGTAAAGTGAGCAAAACAGTTAAATAATAGGCTTGAAATTTAAAATAAATTAACAACAGGAATGCTTTAATTAAAAAATTCCTCTCTTTTCCTTTCATTAATCCTACTTTTTTTAAGTTAAAGAATTAAAAAATTGTTTTCAATGAATAGTAAAATTTGTACCCAATGGCCAGTTAAACGATATAAACAAATGGTGAAAAATAGAAATTAAACAAGCAAACAAAAAATAAAATAAAAACGTAAAACACAAATAAATACTATTTTGGAATTGAATTCATCGATTTCAATAAAAAGAAAACAAATATTTGAAAGTAAAAAAAAAAAAGAAGAGAAAGGAGAATGGTTAAAATAGCTTTGTTAAAGCATACAATGTTAACATTATATTTCATTTTACTTGTTTTTTTTTCAAAACTGTTCAATACGATTCAAGATGTAATGTTAACAGAATTCTATTATTGTTGTTTCTATTGTTGTTGTTGTTGTTTGTTGTTGTTTCTGTTGTTTTTGTTGTTGTTTATTGTTGCTCTTCTTCTTGTTGTTGTTGTTGTTTATTGTTGTTGTTGTTATTGTTGCTACTGCTATCGTTTTATCTCTTCAAACTGCATTCATTGGTTAAGATTATTAATTCAACGATTTTAAATTTAATGAAATTTAGAAAGAAATGAATGGAATAAAAGGAAAAAGGAAACGAAGACTAACAAAGTTTTTTGTTTCCTTATGGATTTATTTAAATTAGTTGTTCCTAACCTTTTCTTGGCCATCAACCACTTCACTTTGATTTTTTAATTCACTGCGCCCCTGCCGCTCACGGAATATATTTTACTTCTCGCGGTGCACCGGACCACTGATTTTAATTAATGCAGTGAATTGAAGTTTGAAATTTGAATAATATGTAACGATTGTTAATGTGGCTGTTTTCTTTCAAAAAAAAAAGTTGATTCATTTATTTATCGAACAATTAAATTTAAAAAAAAGATTTTACAATATGTAATTTATTGAACTAAAATTCATATGTCGTCATTTAATTAAATTATAGTTTTATTCATTCAAGATATAATATTTTATTGTTGTTGTTGGGCGGTATTAATATTGTAAGTAAAAATTACTTTAATTACTTTAACCATTATTTTGTTGAAATTTTTATAACAATTGTAAAGGAATAGGATTTGCTTCCTATTTCAAAAGAAAAATGGAAATCAGAAATTGAAGAAATTAACATTTCTAATACTTTTATATTGCTGTTATACAGATTAATTAGTTTTATAGATTAATTTTTTTGTATAGATTAGTCAAGTTATACAGATTAATCAGTTAGTAAAATTTGGTATCAAATGAAAATGATATTGTTATATTCGATTCAGTTAATTTTTCATTAACGAAATTCTAAACAATGCTTACCAAGCATAACCATAATATCAATAATTAATAATACTGTACCTTGAACAAGTAAGATTGAAATATTTATGTTAGATATTTGTGTGCAAGTATCTTTATGATGGTCTTTTTTTTTAAAAAAAAAATCAATTAAATTTTTTCAGTTTTTAATTTCGTATTAATTTCTGGTAGTACTATGTGAATACTAATATATAGTGAATATGCGAATGCAGGTGCATTTCTGGTTACAAATGGAATTTCCATACTTTTTTGCATGTTCATTTTCCAGCATCTTATAGCTTACGAAAATATCCTATAAATTCCAGAATTTATGTAGAAATTAAGCATGAAATTTATTTATTATTAGCATTATCAGGTGATGAGTAAGTTACGAGAAACGATGTAAGTTCAAGAAACATATAACAGAAGATATTACTGCAGGTCACTTTATTTTTACGTTATTAAATTTAATATTCATTAACATATTGATATAGCAACACTTTTAAAAGACTTATTATTGTTATTTGAATTAAATTACTTATTTTAGCATGCATTTTAAAATATTTGATCTGAAATTTAACTGCAAATAGCAGATGATGATATGGAAAAAAAAAGGCCGTTATTCCTTATTACAAAATATGGATTTTTAAAATTGGATTGAATTGGATTTTAATAAGTTGAAATGTTTCATCGTTTTTTATATTTCAGCTTTCTCCACAATCGCAATGATTTCACTTTTTAATGGTTGCTCTGCAAAGCATGATCGAGCTGCATTCAAACTCTGCAACTAATATAACATTAATCGATTAATTAGTCATCTAATCAATTAATTACTTAACCATAAGGATGAAAAGAAAAATGAGGATGCTAGCTAATTATTTATCACACACTATTATTCATGTTTAATCTATTATCTTCTAATTGTCGTTCTTAAAGATATAAATGAATTTGATCAATGTCACTATTGTAGCCTTTTTTTTCTTTTTTTTTCTTTTCCATGTATCCATAATCTACTTAAAGCAAAATTAGTATTGGACTATTTATTTACGTCAACCTTCTTTTAGATATATGTTATCTTTTTTTTCCTCGTCCGAAAAAAGAAAAAAAAACTGATGAAATTGAAGAAATTACGCATTTCCAAAGTTGCTTTTTGGTTAAGCCTATTTCTTGATGCGCAAGTTGATATTCACTTAATAAGCTGTTATCAAAACATGTTGGATCATCGGTACTCAGCGAAAAATTAATATTATCAGCTGCAAATCTGTAAAAATGATGAATTTTCGCGAATATTTTATTTAATTTAATTGTAACTATTAAATTCAATAAATAAAACTTTTCCAAAATTAATTAGAAATGACAAAGTTTTCGTATTGAAGTGCATTTGTTCAGGTATTATTGCTAGCCAGATACAAAAATTATAAATGAACAAACCGTTTAACCGGATGTTGACACCATAATAATGGTACGGAACCGGTCATAACGGATGACAGAAGGCATGCTTCAAAATGTATTCGTTTTTCAATTGCATATTTTTTATATGCACATTCATCACGGAGTAATCGATAACCATGACCAATTCGTTCTGTTTGCATTTCTTCGATTGCCTAATTTTAAAATTCGAAAAAAAATTCTCCAATAAAATTGAAATTTTTATTTCAAAAATTTTTAAATTTCTTTAATTTATTTCATAAATCAAACAAATATGGCAGTATGTAATTTCATATTTCAATTTCAATAAATGAAAAGCATTATCTCTTATAATTCTTCTTTCTATTTTCATTTTCAATTTTGTCTTCCTACTCCAATAATATTTCCTATCCTTTAAACTTTGATGTTTAACAAAAGAAAGAAAAAAAGAAAAATCATTCGAAATTTTATATTTTAATAAAAATAACTCACATTGACAACTTCCTTTGAACCGCTACTTTCACCGGCATGTACGGTACGATGGATACCTCGTCTAGCTGCTTCCTAAAATATAATCATCATCATCATCATCATCATCATTACAGTACCCCGTATAGAATGATTTTCAAATCCATGCCAATGCATAAATTTATGCAGCAATGATTAATTCGATATTTGTTTTAAAATTGTCCTTTTGCCTACATTTGTTTCATTTAAATTCCTAACTTTCATTTTAATTTTCACATTGATCAATTAATTGTATACTTAATATAATTATAGTGAATAAAAAAGTATTAAAATAATTAAATCAACCTGGAAAAGTTTTGATACACTTGGAGGATATTGTTCATCAGCTCCCAATGAACATCCCGCTATATCAATACCAACAACTCCTTCATTTGATAAATTTGTTGCTAAATTAATCAATATTAAAAAAAAAATCATTGAAAAAAAAAAGAAAATGAATCAATAATTTGCTATAGGTAATCGATATATGAACCAAGTTCAAGGACTTCATCATTCCAATCATGAAATCCATGTATGCAACATAAAATTGAGCGTGCTTTTACACCGAATTCCTCTTCACCACGTCGAAAACCTCGTCTCACTGCTTCAATAACACCTCGTGGTTCCAGCTTCAAATTTATTAACAATGAATTAAATTTTCAATTTTCAAATCAAATTTTAATTAAAATATGTTCCCAATACAAGGATTATTTGATTTGGTGATGTAATTAAGTCACTCCAATTTAGCCTATATATCTTTTTCTAAACTTTGACATAATCAATCAAAATAATTCATTTAATTTATTATCAAAATTGTCAATATTTTGCTCATCTAACTTGATTCTTAACCTTTTAACTAATACAAATGCTGTAAACTTAATTTCCTCATTGTACTTTAAAATGAAATATTGAAATTAAAAAGCAGTCGTAATTTTTCTGTAATAAAATTAATTATTACTTTTCCTTTCTTAGTATAAATTCCATATTTTGAATTTGCAGCTGTATTTTTTACTGTATTACATAACAGATGTGGTGAATATCGTGCTTCAAAATAGATAACACCATTTTGTGCTTCATCTTCGCATAACTCATATGCAACTCGTTCAATAGCATCCTTATCACCTCTATACACTTTGAATTTTAATTAAATTTCTAAAATTTACAAAAGAAAAAAAGTGAAAACCAAACGATCATGTCAAATTTCTCGTCAAAATGTTATTTTTGTGGCATTGCAGAAAAACACAAAGATCGATTACACACTATAGGGAAAACAAAAAATTTTGAAGATTTCAAGAGATTTTCTGTTGAGAAATTCTTCTAAGAAAATTAATTTAACTTTTGAACTTTAATTTTCAACAATGAAAAGAAAAAAAAAATTATTGATTAAAGACAAACGCAAGAACAGGAAGAAATAAATCAAATGGTTCCAGCATTTTGGATAATGTGGATGGTTCACGAGTAACAACAACATCTCGTACTTCATCAACTTTCGTAGCCCCTTTTAAATCGATCTTTTTTTCTCTGAAAATATTGAAATTATTTTATTTTACATTTAATAAATAAAAATTAATTTTAAAAAAATGTATTAGTTAACAGGATTATAGGATTATTCGTCAAATTTAATCAATTCCATCCAAATAACCATTAATGTTCAATCAAAATAGTAATGAATCGGTTAGGTAATGCTAAATTGAAAAGGTATGAAAGTTTTAAATAAACGATGATCGACCAAAAACTATCTCATTTGGCATATTTATTGATTAAAACTGATCCATTTAAATCATCCAAAATTTTCTCAACAATTTTTTATGGAACATTTTCTTTGTCGACCTGCTCTTTTGCAAAATTGATAAGATTGATTTGATTTTCATAATGTCACTATCAAACAAAAATATTACAACAGACAACTTGTTAATAAAGTTAATAAACGATGCTAATCTGGGGACATGCAAACTTCAGCCTATTGGAATATTCGTTGTGAATGAGAAGGTCAAAATTAAAAATAAATATTAAAAAAAACCGGTCAAAATATATGAGAAAAAAAAGCGATTGAAATTTACATCGAAAGATCAAGTAAAGTTTGATGTCTTATGGCACCATCCAAATGTAAATGTAATTCTACCTGAAAAACTTAATTTGATTTCTTGTTAGCATCAAAATTTGCAAAACAAAAAAAAGGCAAAAAAATGCTGCACAAAATTCAAATTGGAAGAGTTGAGAAAGTTTTTTTTTTAAAAAAAAGAATGAAGAAAAGCAAATCAAAATTTAAATTTAATTGTTCAAAGTTCTCCCTCTGCATACTTTTGGGAAATCGAATCGTTTGCGTATTTCTTCGTTTGCTTTTGTTGTGTAAGTCATATTGTTGTTGCTGAAAAAACAAAAATAAGAAAAATTTCAGAAAAAAACAAAAAAACTGAAAAACTATTTTTTAAATTACAAATACATTAAGATATGAAAGTTTGCATGAAATGAAATTATAAACTTTACCAGTTTGTTATCATCACTAATAGTAACAACAATAATAACATTGATAACAATAACCATAGCACTAATCACAATAATAATAATGATAATAATAATAATAATAATAATAATAATAATAATAATAATAATAATAATAATAATAATAATAATAATTAATAGATAAATAAACGAATTATTATTGGTAATAATAATTAATAAATGAATGACAATAATAATTAATAAATGAATAAACG